ATGAATCTATATAGTTGCTATTTCTATTTTATATACAAATCATTGTAGACTGGCTGTATTTATATTTTATATCAGACGCAGCTAATGAACTTATCACATGAAGAAATATATCAATCAATAAGTCAGTTAGAATTAGACAGTCAGAATTAGTCAGTCAGAATTAGACAGTCAGAATTAGACAAGGATAAGCATCAGTCTAATAAGAATTTGGCTTTCGTTCTGTTTTTTAGTTAAGGTCTAAAGACTGCCCTCTTAAACATTCCTCAAAATAACCCCTTAACCTAACTGATGTCATCTGCTTTAACCAATCAAATTCATTCACACTCTCACAAAAATGCCAGCGGTCGAGAGGGAAGAAATTTGATTGGTTAAAAGGTCATTTTGAAGAATGATAAAGAGGCCAGCATTTAGAACCTAACTTAAATAAAAAGTAAAAGCGAGTAAAAAAGGAACGAATTAGATTAGAATATGATGAACATACTAATATTGTTGATTCTCCTAGAAACAAACCTCGACTGTAATTACTAGCTTTGTAAATATTGATTAGATTTATTTATTTTGTTGTTGTATTATTTTAATTGTGTTTATGTTTTTTTCTGATAATGAAGGGTTTTGTCGATATGTATGCCTGAAGATTGCACAGCGTGAGACTCAGAGTTACATGTTTCTGTTTTAATACCTCTATATCGCTCTGCAATAGACCTTTTCACGATAAAAGCCGCGCATGCGCATAAATACCCTTGAGTGGCAAGCCGTCTGTTTACATTCGATACAAGATGGCGTCCATCGATAAATTGAGAAAATTGAAACTAACTGATTTGAGAGTTCTTGCAATCGAGAAAGGGATAGATGCCAATGGTAAAAAGAAACAGGAGTTGATAGAAGACTTGTTAAACAGCCAGGTTCCAACTTCGGTTTTGACACCCGTACATAACCAGTCAACACCCGTCATCAATCCAACGCCAACCAAGTCTGCCACCAACGTCAACGATAAAGAGAACCTGCCTCCCTTTCATCGAGTCAAATATCTGCCGCAACTACCTTACGTAAAAGTTTTGTTTACGATGATTTACGATTTCCTGATAACGAGAGCAACAGAGTCAGGTGGAAGTGCTAATAATTTTAAAGGACTTGACAAGGCAGTCAAACACCATGATGCAGGAGACGTGAAAAACATTTCACATGCAAAGGTACGTAATCGTCCAACTAATATATGACATCAATTGTTTATGGT